AGTTTATAATCTCTGCAGGGAAAATCATATAAAGTTGACCTGAACTAGAGAATTACCCTGAATCAACTACAACAGCTGCAAATGCATCCAGTATAGAGTATTAATGAATCAGAAAATATTAAAGATTATTATTAATTGCATAGTGCCCCATAATATGCTAGGTGCATTACAGACATAAAATAAAAGACAAGTTTATTTGTATTTCTTTGAAAGGCCTTTGTCATGAATTTTTGGAGCTGGAATCAGATCAAAATCCAAACTTCAACCAAATTCTGGAGCCCGTTCCCAGAAATCCTCTAGATCTGGGGGTAGCTGCTCCCTGCAATGTGTGCCTACACCTAGGAGGTAACTCTGGCTTAGGCAAGTGTGTGGGGAAGTGATCAGAGCTGTGTGAATAACTAATCTTTTGGTTTGCTGGCAGTTCTGAAAAAAAAAAAAGTTTTGAATAGACCCAAAAGCAAAAACATTTAGAATTTTCAGCAGATCAAAAAGATGGACAACATTTTGTTTTAGGTCGAACAAAATATTTCAATTTGGGGCAGCTAAATAAAACCAAAGGAAATGAAGGGCTAGGGTCACATAGGGACTTTGATGCCATTCACAAAATCAAGGAGGAGATCATAGTGCCTCCCCCATATGCTAGTGGGTAACACATTCACCTAGGCTGTGGGAGATCCAGATTCAAATCCCCCATTCTAGAAGAGGGACTTGTCCTTATGTTTCCCCTGCAGTCAGTGGGTAGCCTGACCACCAGGCTGTTCAGTCTCTCAACTCTGAATATATTGGTCCAGAGAGTGAGAATGACTCTACAACCTAGTGGGTAGGGCACTCACCAGCAGGGAGACTCCCAGGGCCAGTCCCTCCATAGAACATTCTAAAAAAACACCTCTTTGACTGAAACAATTCCCCCAAATCTACAGCAAGTCACAAAATGTTTTGGTTGCCCCAAATCTGCATTTTTTGGTGCAAAAAATTTTGGCTGAAAATTGTCACCCAGCTCTAGAAGATGCTGACATAGAGACAAGCTAGAGGAGAGAGCTGGAGGGAAAGGGAGCTGGGGAGATGGTTAGAGGAGAGTGCAGCTGGTATGGCGGAGTGAGGTTAGACTAGGGAAGAAATATGGAGAAAAGAAATAAAAGATCAACCTTGATGTCTCTGAGCAGCCAGGAAGAGCATGAAATAATTACGGAAGTGCTGGGAAGGCAAATGGCTGCTTAACATCCATGCTCCCTCTGGACCTCAGATCAGGTTGTTTATTTCAGATGTTTTATAATGTCTCTAATCTCAGACAAATGAGCCTGACCGCTCCTCTTGTGATTGTCTGAAAAGTCTGGCAGGTTGGACAGAAGAATTTGAAAGCTCCAATGGCAGAGTAAATCCAGCAGGATCTGGCCGGACCTCCCAGGGATCAATGATGCGGGCAGCACCAGAGTGCTTTGACACTGAGCAGTGAGCTCAAGGGAAAGATGCTGGATCTTTCTGCACCAGAGAGAGGAGCAGGCTGCCCAGCCGCCTTCCCAACTCCAGGGCCAGCCAGCCCACTGCGCTCCGAAATCCTGACACTGGAGCAGGTGGAGGCTGCTCCTGAAGAGGAAACTATCCACCAGAGGGGGCAGGAGCCCACCACTTCCCCACCAAAAAAGAGTTGCCAACTCACCATTTCATCACAAGTCTCGTGGTAACTGGTGTAGTTCTTAAAGCACCAGCTACTGGAGTTATGTGAATTCATGAGAATCTCAGTTTTTGGGGTTTTTTTTAAAGTATGTTTCTAGCCTCTGTGATTGCAGAGAAAAGCATGACCCTGTGACCCCAGTGTATCCTAAAGGATCCAAGGCCAGAAGGCCCATAAGAAGAACTCCAAATGTATTATTTGTTTTTAAATCACTTGATTTTTCAAGCCAACCTCATGGTTTTTGGAGCCCAAATCATGGCTTTTGAACATTTGGGGTTGGCAATGCTAAGGAACTACTGCAGCAAGTCAGTACTGATGGAGGGTGACCTACCCGATCTCAGCCCTCCAGGCCAGTGCAGGGGAAGTTGGGGCACTACAAATGCAGCACCGGTGCTGGGCATTCTCCTGTGCTGTCATTCATTTAGCAAAGAACAGAAATTGGCATGATTTTTTTCAAGTGTTCATTCTTGCTCCTCTTCCTCAGGTTCACCATCACCATTCCGAACCCCCTGCGTTGCTGCCAGTCCATCAGGATTAATTGCTTTGCGACAGTGGGGGTTGGGGGAGAAAATAGTCTTGACAATTTCAGGGAGATCCAATTTATGTCTCCTGAGCAAGTGTTTAGCTGAGATCTTTATCCCCCTCCTCATCCCTCCATGAAATGTAATAAGGGTTTTTCCAGTACCACATGTTCTAAGTAGATAATTATATGGTGTAACTGTGCGATTGAACGGAGTTGCACTCATTATTTCATTAGGCTAATTAAGTAAACACTTGATGATAATTAGCTAAAATTACTTTGGGGATAAAAGAAAACCTAGAGAAGTGAGCACAGCAAAATCTGGCAGGGACTGTCTTTTTGTCCAATGTCAGTAGAGTGCCTAGCAGAGTGGGGTTCTGGTTTATACCTAGGGCTCATAGGCACTCTGGTAATGATTATAATAAATAAGGAGTGAGATGTTGTTATGTTTGTAGCCTAGAACTCAGACAATTTGGTTTGGGTCCCAGCTCTGCCACAGATTTCCTGTGTGGACACAGACAAGTCACATCATCTTTCTGACCTCAGGTCCCTATTTTACATATAGGGCTACTGAAACTTCCTGTATCATACCCTTTGTCTTTTTGCTATTTTAATTTTGGTTGAGATCTCTATGTGCTACTGTACTGACAGTAATAATAAATGGTGATGTCTTATGCTTCATGTGGAATCATTCACCCAAAGAGATCCAGAAGACTGTATATCAAAGGAAAGGAGTACTTGTGGCACCTTAGAGACTGACCAATTTATTTGAGCATGAGCTTTCGTGAGCTACAGCTCACTTCATCGGATGCATAACAGTATGCATCTGATGAAGTGAGCTGTAGCTCACGAAAGCTCATGCTCAAATAAATTGGTTAGTCTCTAAGGTGCCACAAGTACTCCTTTTCTTTTTGCGAATACAGACTAACACGGCTGTTACTCTGTATGTCAAAGGTTCATTTCATTAGCGTCTGGCATATCCCCTTCTAGAGTGGGACTCAATAGCCATTCTGCATGCACACCAGAACAGAAGGAAGGAAGAATGTATAGTTTTCCCTTTTGGACTGAGTGGGTAGACAGTATTTGGGGCCTTGCTGGGTTTTTTCTGTTAGGAGGTGAATTGGAAGATGCAAGTCGGGTATTTCTTTGGTGCAATCATGTTTAGTTACCAAAAAATGTGCACAAAGTCCCGTTTCCCTGAACACAGCAGAAACAAACAGCAGGCAGTTCCCTTGCTCCTAATGTCAAAACCTGCTTTTCCAGCAAGTCCTGTGCCCCAAGGAGCAATGACTCTCTGCTCTCTCGCAACCATGCTTGTGGCTGCTTATCTCACTTTCAGGTCACTTTCTGGCTCTACACTAGCACTTTTGTCAGTAAAACTTTTGTTGGTCAGGGATGTGAAAAAACTCACAAAAGTTTCACCAACAAAAGTGCCAGTGTGGACAGTGCTATGTCGGTGAGAGAGCGTCTCCTGCTGACATAGCTACCACCACTCATTGGGGGTGGTTTAATTATGCCGGTGGAAGAGCTCTCTCCCACCAGCTTAGAGCGGCCACACAGGAGACCTTACAGCTGCACACCTGTAGAGGAACAGGTAAGGTCCATAGAGCAGATGCACACAGCTGCAAACAAAGAATCCCCTCACACCTACATTTGCAACTAATCCCAGGGAAACCCCACAGTCCACATAGCTTAGCTTCTGATCAGTGTTGCCATATGTCCCATTGCCTTGGGCAGTGGCTTCCTCCTGTTTCCAGCTATCACTCCATAAAGGGACATTTAATTGCTTCTTTCATTTAGCTTGAATGAAGGATGGTTAGAGCCCCCGTCAGCTTTAACCAGGTCTATGACTGATGGCAGCCATTAACACCTCCCAGCACAGCAGTATCCATTTGAAACTACAAGGTGAGCTGAAGGTAGGCAGGATGCAATTACTGTTATTGGTGTATGGCCGTAACAACTCTGCACTTACAAAGACGCCCCTGGGATTTTAATGACCACAAACTGTCAGGACCTTGGATTTACATCTCCTCTGAAAGAGCTTAGCTGACTTTGGCTGATGTGTTTTTTCATGACAACTGAATTAACTACCCATAAAGAGGGTGGCTCATTCTTTGTTTACCGGGTTACCCATGAAGGCCCATTAGCAGTGCTGAAAGTTTGACTCATTTGGAGACCACCAGAAATTTAGATCCTGCCCCAGAAGAGGACGCCAGCTGTACATGAGTCTGCAGAGATGGAGGATGGAGGACTGAGTTTGGACAGGAGTCTTTTTCAGAGTTAATCACTTCTCTAAGGTAGGAAACAGGGCAAAAAACAGTTGTCCATTCAAAAGCAATCTGCTTGCTGGGAAAGAAACTGGTCTGAATTCTGAAGTCCTCTCTAAGTCCTTTGTCAAAACACCCATTGCCTGCTCAAGGACCAAGGACTTCAGGATGTGGCCTACTTTCTGTAGGTATGCGTGATGTTCCCCTCTGGTATTATCTGGACTGGTGATCTGCTAGGTCACTCCAATTCTTGCCTCTGGGAGCCAGTCTTACCCTGCTCTGCTGTGAGAACCCCCACTCCTGGGCTGTTCACGCACAGCCTCTGGCATGTAAGCTGATCCCAGCTACTTGCAACCGAATGACACTAGCCAATATCTCCATCCCAGACACAACCCTAGGAATCTCCATCTTGCAGTGTCCAATTATGCCTCCTGGCTGCTGCAAACTTATATGAGTTCATCAATTTAACAAAGAAATTGATATGTACCAGACTTTTTATCCCAAGGGGTGCCTCTGACACACTTCAAACCAAACGCACTGCTTCAGGTAGAATAAACAAACAGATTTATTAACTATGAAAGATAGATTTTAAGTGACTATAAGTCAAAACATAAGTCAGATTTGGTGAAATGAAATAAAAGCAAAATGCAGTCTAAGCTGATCTTAACACTTTCAATGTCTTTACAGACTTAGATGCTTCTCGCCACAGGCTGGCTAGTTGCTCTTCAGCCAGGCTCTCCCCTTTGATCAGCGCTTCAGTCACTTCGTGTGGTGTCTGTAGATGTAAGAGAAAGAGAGAGAAAGAGCATAGCAAAGTCTCTCCCTTTTATCATGTCCTTTCTTCTCTCTTGGCTTTGCCCCCTCCTCCCTTCAGAGTCAGGTGAACATTACCTCATCGCAGTCCCAAACTGGCCAAAGGAAGGGGGGTGACTCACTTGAGAGTCCCACAGATCCTTTTGTTGCTGCCTAGGCCAGCGTCCTTTGTTCCTGTGAGGCTGGGCTGGGTTTGTCCCATACCTGCCCTGATGAGGTGTGAACTGACTCTCTGCTCTTGGAGAGTTTTTGCCTAGGCTTATTTTAAGCCATGAGGATACATTTTCAGCCTCATAACTACATACATGAAATTATAAACCTATAACATTACTGTAACAACAATGCTCAGTGCATTATGAGCCTTCCGAAGACACCCGACATGACAAACTTCGCACTGGATACCACACAATCATTTTACAAGGATGAACATTGGGGTGCTGCGTGTTCCCCCCAGGTACAAAGAGTCAGAGTATGTTCTAAGATCAGTCTTAAGATGAAAGAAGCTAATAGGAAGAGTCAGGTCATCAGGACTTGTGGAGAAGGCTCCGGAACAAGGTAGCAGTTTAGTGCAAGCAGTGAGGCTATGAGAGACCCGACATCTCTCTTCTGTAACAGCTGTAAATCTGTGTAAAAGCAAGTGCAAGCTTCTAATTTTACCCTTCTGTGCTACAAACCAGCTATTTTTAAACCAAGTAAGAACCAATCAATGGAGAAATTAGCTTCAACATGGGGAGAAAGACAGGGTCAGCAAAAATGTGTTGCAGAAATCTAAATGACGAACACCAAGGTGTCACTATGGATGGTTGGATGAATGTTCTGCAATACACTGGTGACCTTCGCAGAGAAAGGACTGTAAAATCATCATAGAAACCAGTGATCCAAAAGGCCCACCAGCTTACCCCCCGCATCCCATCCCCATTCCAGGCAAGACTGCGCCCTATAATTTATTCTCCAGGCATCAATGAATGTTTCTCAGAAAAGGTCGATCACTGAAACAGCTGTCGTTTTTTTTAGAATGTCTTCTGCATTAAGATAAATAGAAAAACTGGGGCTGGTTTGCAGATTGGGTATATGATGCCCCTATAGGGTGTCCACTCAAATCCAGACCAGGACAAATGAGTGACCCAATTGGTTGCCCACGTGAAATGCATTTGGTGATGTCCATCAAGTTGTCACTGGGGCAAGTGCTGAGATTCTAAGCTCTTCAAGGCAATGGCAGTGCCCTCCGGTGTGTGGGGTGGCAGGGTGCAGTGCCTAGCACACTGTGGATACAATGAGAAAAGAAATAATTATAAGAGTCCACACAGCCCAGCTACAGTTACCACAGCTGGTGTTAAACAGCCCCTTAGCAGTTATTTTAGCAGAGGGATCAGGGACTGAATGGGCCATGGAGACCAAGCTGTACTCTCCCCCTGCAGATGGTTCCCCCTCCCGCTCAGGGTTGAGGCATACTGGCCAGGCAGGAGAAGTCTGTACTTTCTATTCTGTGGATAAAAAGGGGAGTTCAGGCACACGGGGCTGCCATCTCAGCATCTTCCACCAGCACTGAATTCATACAAAGTCTCAACAATCCACGGGTTCCCCGATCTATCCAGAGGGTCTGGGCAGGACCTGGTGATGGAGCCCACTGCTGGGGGAAGCCCTTGAGAAACATCCCCCATCCACCTTTGTTACCAAATACAGACACATGGAGCCAGATCTGATGCTATCGTAAATCAATGTAGCTCCATCCCCCTGGGGCCAATTCCCCACTTGGGCCAGCATAAATCAGGAGTAACCCCACTGGAATGAATGCAGCTACAGCAGTGCAAAACTGGTGTAAATGAGTGGATTATCAGGGCTGGCAATGATTTGCACTGCATGTTGAGGAGAAGCTCACCCTTTATTTGATGCTAGTTTTGACTTTCTTGCCTGTTTTGACTTGCAGGCATCTCCCACGGTGCTGGCCCCTGCTGCATCTGGCTCGATAAAAGAACAGCACGTGTTATGAAATGTATCATAACATGTTAAGGTTTGCTAAAGACAGAATAAACAGTTGGGCTGAAAATTAATAAATACTGTACGCCTAAATTAAAAACACACGAAAGGTGCGAGACAGGGATCCAGACACAGGGATTATGGCACTTAAGATATTTAAAGATGACTGTGCAGCTCCTTTTTGTCCCCCACCAGTGCTCAGCTAGAAAGCCATCAGCTGGATTAAATTTGCTACTAAAAAAAAAAATATATAATTGCACACTAAAGTCTACACTTTAAAATCAGATGAGAGATTGATTTCATTCCCCGCTTGATTGGATAAATCAGTCCAGAAAATAGTAATAGGCTCTGTCTGCACGAGCAGATGAAGAACTTACGATTGCAGCGCTGATAGGCCTGGGGTGTTTTTCACCACCATTCTGTCTATTCATAGTGTCAATATTACTCTAACACTTAAGGCCACCAACTGAGATCAGGGCCCCCCCATGTTCAGGTCTGCATCATCCCAATCATACTCTACATTTTAGGGATGGAGCACTGAGGTGCACAGAGATTACAGAACATCCCCAAGGTCAGTCAATCAGTCTGGGGGCAGAAATGGGAATTGAACCACCACCTCCTGCATACCAGGCCAGGGCTTTAATCACAGGGCCAGCCTTCCTCTCTTTGAATAGAGTTATCCAGCATGGTGTTCCAGGCTATGCTCCCACCTCCCCAGTTGTTCTCATGGTGAGGCTGCAGCTGTGCTGATGTACAGGCCCCCAGCTGTGCGGGTGTGGGTCACCCAGTGGAAACCAAGGAGGAGGAGAGTTACAGGAACTCCATTCAGAAGGTGTTTCCCCAGGGAGACACAATGCTTAGAGATGCAAGTATGGAGGGTCTGGGCTAGACTTAAAGCCTTTGGGCTCAGTGCTGTGCAAGGAGGGGGCATGTAACTGCAGCCCCACAGGGGGAGTCCCAGGAAGGAAATGAGCCTCAGAGAGGCACAATGACTTCCCTCTAGCTCCTTGGGGGAATGGGGGAGGTATTTTGCTATGGCCCTTGTCAAGACACAATATGCCCCCTTGCATACTGGCACAAGAGGAAAATCTGGAACCATGGGTTGGCCCACTGCCTGCCCTTCCCCACCGATTTGTGCTTCTCCCTCACTGCACCCAGAGCCACAGTCAGAGGAGATCTAAGGCAGCCACGGGGTGGGTTCCTCCCTGCATAGCCACAGTAGCGCCAGCCACAGGGAGACCACACCAGGGTGTGGAGCCCAGCAACTTACATGAACCACCATGGCAGACCAAAGAATGCCTCCAGGATGCACAGGATACAGACTAGACCTGATGGAATGTGGATTGCACTGTGGGAATATACAGGAAAGGAGAGGGGAATTGGGAGGAAGAGTGAAAACACACTGGGGTTTGCACAGCAAAAACCCTTTGGGTCACAATTTGCTCCAGCTCCCCACAATGCACTACAGAGCTTTCTCACCCCTCAGGTTCTGTGCTGGAGCCAGGTAGTCCTCCAGCAGCTCTGTAATCCATGCCCCAAAGAGCACCTGGACCCAGCTCAGGGACTCTGCAAACACAGCTGTGTGGTCCATTATGCTTTGAAGTTGAGTGGTAGTTCCAATCAGATTAAACAGGCCGGATCCTCCTCTGGTGGAAATCGGTGCACTGCACTTTCTTCACCATTCTGATACCCATTCACATCCGCCGAGGACCTGGCCTAGAAATCCTCTATTATCTTTCTCCCTCCTGGAGTGTTGCAGAGCTGGTTTCTACAAATGGAGAGGGACATTAATTAGAGGGAAAGAGGGGGAAAAACATACACAGGCTAGCTCCTCAGCTGGTGCAAACAACCGTAACTCTAGTGACTTGGCTAGAACTTACATGGACTTACATCAGCTACGGGATCCGGCTCACAGTTTGGCTTGAACTGATGTGACTTGCATGTGTAATTGCTTTCTAAAAGGGGATTCTTGCTCCTCTCCCCAAGCTGCCTGCAGAGACTGCCAGGAGCTCCTGGAATTTCCAGAGCAAAGGGAAGGAGAGAGAGGGATGAATAAAATATTATCAGAGCACTTTTTATACAGCTCCATGAAGCCGCTATGCCGTGCTGCAAGCTTCATTTTTAAATAAGCTCAAATCAATTCCCTGCAAGGGAAGGCAAATGTGTCGGGCTTTTATGAGAAGGCACCAAAACTGAAAAGCCTTTTTTCCCCATCTAATCAGACTGGAGCTGGGTTAATTATGCAGCTCTGTCCTGATACAAGCGATGGAGCTTTATTCAGTACAACTCTTCCTTTATTAATGAATTGCAACCCAATTTTAATCGAAGGAAGGGGGAACAAAAAATCCCTTTGCCAACACGCTCCATTGGCTGCTGCTGTCTTGCATTTCCATAACTTCAAAGTCATGCATTTTTAAAATCAGCCTATTTTTTTTGGGTCCAGTTTGACTCTATTTGATCAGCCAAATAGAGAGAGCGAGGGAGAGAGAGAGAGAGAGAGAGACACCCTCTGCACGTGCTCCAAGCTCTAGCAGAACGGAGTGCCAGGGTGTGCCGATGTTACAGCTGTGGGCCCAGACTCCTCTTTCACTTGCATTGGTGCAACTACACTGATTTCAGTGAAGATGCATCATAAGAGGAGGATTTTTCCGGTTTAGCTATGGGCCCCCTCTCCTAATCTGCCCCTTCTCTCCAGCACAGGTGAGCAGAAGAATGAACGCACACACATACACACAGCTCTCTAACCTCTCAGTTATATACACACACAAATCTTTGTGCACTCTTCCAGACACACACAGCCCTACACACACGCACGCACATTTATTCATACTTAGACACATAGATCTATTCACACACACAAACACATCGATACACTCTCAGGCATCCAAGTACGGCTGCATACGCAAATCCCGCCCCACCCCCGCCCCCTTTGAATTCAATTCTTTCTTGATCTGACAAGCTGGAGACATGTTGCCAAAGCACAAAAGTGACAGATTCCAGGCCCCTGGCAGAGGCAGGTATGATCTGGGCTTCCCAGTCTTGGGGTTTCATCCCCGCTCTACATCTGTCACTAGCGCCCACCCGCAGGTTATTACACGGCAAGACCGCAACACCATCTCTCTCCCCTTGTCTCCTTTCTCCTCACACCATTGTGATAAAAAAAATCTGTAATGATTCTGGGTAATTTGAAGAAGTCTCTCCTTGAACATCCTCAAATAGCATGACTCCCCTCTCCCAATCTTTCCTCTGCTCTGTGACTGCCCAGCTGCTTCTGTCTGGCTTTGCACTGTACTTTGTGTTTGGCAAGAGTCTGCCTTAGCTTTGGGCATTTCACTGTAGCAAAATAGTCTACCAGCATGATAGTTCTGTTCAGGGATCTGGAGCAATCTAGACTGTTTTGCAATACTCAGTGATTCATATAGGGGTGTTTTAAGTATGAAACTAACATGTTGGGCATTTTGGGACATTGTTTGCACCACTGATGGAGAAGTTAGAGACACACACATGTTGGCATATAGTCACACACATCCACAAACACACTTGCACACGCCCAGAGACAACCATGCATTTGTACATCCACACATCCATCCATCCACTCTTAGATACACATATACCTATACTCTGTCTCACACACAGAGCTATACTTTCTCAGACACTCACATGCCCACACAGCCACTCATACACAATGGTGCTGTCTCTCTCCCTCTGTCTCAAATTGCAGACTAATGAGGAACATATGGGCTGAGGTGATTAAAAACAAGTTAATTGCTCTGGATCCCAGCATCTCTTCCCTTCTCGCAGCCATTACAGCTCGGGGACAGGGCCACTGTCTATTTGCCTGAGTGAAATTCTCTCTGAGGTAGCTGGAAATCAGCTTCAACTTGGTCCACCTGGGGCAATTTGCTGTTTTCTTGATGGGTGTGAAGTTGGGGGCAGGGAGCAGGGGATTTCTGGCTAGCACTTCCATTGGGGTAGGGTTACCTTAGTGGCTGCCCCAGACAAGACTTCTCCAGCCTGCTCTTTCCTAGCTGCAGACATGGCACCATCACTTCTCACCTCTCATCACTTCCTCCCCTCCCTACCCCCACTGCTGCTCGCTGAATCCACATTGACGGGTCCAGATTAAGGCCACAAGGTGTTTTATGGAAGCCAGAGCTCTTGCTATCACTTTCTCACTGTGAGCGACTGGGCTGATGATGGCTGCAACCTATAAAAGCATTGCTGGAATAGCCCCATCTGATTTCCTGAGTGTCCAATGTTATGCACATTGGCAGCAGCCTTTGATGTCCTCTGGCTCAGGTCTTCTTTGAGTCTGCAACGCCAGACATCAGGCCCTCAGTGCAGTCGGCTTTCTGACACATCTTCTCTCTTCCTGTGCTTTGATCTCTTGGTACTCTGAACTCCAGCATCTGCGTGGGCTCTCCTGAAACAACCCACAGGTGGCAGGTTCCCTAGAAGCTGTCATAGAATCATAGAATATCAGGATTGGAATGGACCTCAGGAGGTTCATCTAGTCCAATCCCCTGCTCAAAGCAGGGCCAATCCCCAATTTCTGCCCCAGATGCCCTAAATGGCCCCCTCAAGGATTGAGCTCACAACCCTGGGTTTAGCAGGCCAATGCTCAAACCACTGAGCTATCCCTCCCCCCTAGTTGTCCTACTCCAACTGCTTCCTGCCTAGTGCTGCTATTTCTGAGGCACCCATCATCTTGGTATATCTAAGGTCCAGATCCCCAACTCCCATTGAAATCAATAGGAGAATGGCACCTAAATACCTTTGAGGATCTGGGCTTAATTGCCCCAAATCTGAGTATGACAGTAGTATCTACCCAAGATCAGAGCCCCATTGTGCCAGGCACTATAAAGACACATAGTGAGAGACGGTCCCTGCTCCAGCGAGCTCACAGTCACCACAGGTAGACAAAGGAAGCATTATTATACTCATCCAGCAGCCAGGAATGGAGACTTAGATATATTGAGGGTCAGGTTTACAAAGGTATTTTGGTGCCTAAGACTGAACATAGGCACCTCGTGGCATTTACAAAAACACATAAGTGGCTTAGATGCCTAACTCCATGTAACCGTGCAAGCGCCTCCCAAGTGCCCCCTCTTGGCCTGGGGTGGCGCTGTGGTGCCCTGCCTCAGTTTCCCCCCTTGGACTCCTCAGTAACTCAACTGGTCCATAGCACTAAAAGCCTTCCCCTTCTGTGGTCGAGTGTAGAACTTCTACCTACAAAACAGAACTCATGCTTCACTCCACTGGGCACAGCCTCACCTCCCTGAAGGGCTGTCTCCCTTTATCCTCCTGTCTCCTTGAATCCAGAGCTGCAAGAGCTGGGTTCAGTTCAGTCTCTCTCTGGGAATCAGGAGCTTGGTCCTCAAGGCCACAACCCCAGTTCAGTGTCTTTCTTCCTTTTGGTCAGGAGTCTCCAATCCTCCTTCCCGGAGCTGTGTTCAGCTCCCTTACTCCCCCAGGCTTGCTCCCTGCACATGCTTCTTCAAGCCAGCTGCAGTTTCCTAGGCTTCTGGCCTCCCAGTCCCTCTTGGCTGGAGCATTACTGGCTCAAGCTCCTTTTCAGTCCTGCACCCAAAGCCAGTGTAGCAAGGCAGAGCTAATTGGACACAGCTGGCTGACCCAAGGCCCCTTGGCCCTTAAAGGGGCTGGCAGCCCTGGTACACTCCCACTGAAAGTCATTTAGGTGCTTTTGTAAATCCACTGGGCATCCAAATACTACCACCCCAGGAGACTGCACCCAAGTTAGGAACCCAGAATTTCTGAACTACAGTGCCCCAACTACACAACCATCCTCCCTCCCAGAGAAAGGTATCTCAGGCCTTGTTTGCACATGTTGCACTGGTTTAACGTAAACCAGGTTAGTCAATGAACTGGGATTCTAGGTCTGACTCTTAAAGGGGAGTTTTGTGGAGAACTTTACAAGAAGCTTGGCCCATCATTTTCTGCATTCCCCATGCTATTGTAGGAATTAATTATTAGTGTTCCAACCTGATATTTGTGTTTGGAGAAGAGCTTTCTCCCCAGCCCCACCCCGCGCTAGGGTTGCCAACCCTCTCAGTTTGGCTGGGAGTCTCCCAGAATCAGGCTCAATCTCCCGGAGGCTACTGAAGCCAATCCAGGAGATTTTAGGCCATTAAAAATCTGGCGGCGCAGTGGGGCTAAGGCAGGCTCGCTATCTGCCCTGGCTCCACGGTGCTCCCAGAAGCTGCCGGCATGTCTGGCCCCTAGGCGGAGGTGCAGCCAGGGGGTCTCTGCATGCTGCCCCCACCCCGGGCGCCGACTCTTCTGCTCCCATTGGCCAGGAATGGGGAACCACGGCCAGTGGGAGCTCTGGGGGCAGTACCTGCAGGCAGGGGGAGTGTGCAGAGCCACCTGACCACCCTTAAGCCTAGGAGCCGCTGCCAGACATGCCGCTGCTTCTGGGAGCCACCCGAGTAAGCACCACCCAGCTGAAGCCTGCACCCCCCACCCCTTCCCGCACCCTAATCCCCTGCCCCAGCCCCCTCCTGCACCCAAACTCCTTCCCAGAGCCTGCACCCCTCACCCCCTCCCACACCCCAACCCCCTGCCCCAGCCAGTGAAAGTGCGTGAGGGTGGTGGAGCGCGAGCAACAGAGGGACGGGGGCTGGAGTGAGCGGGGGCAGGACAAGGGTGTTTGGGTTTGTGCAATTAGACAGTAGGCAACCGTACCCCCCCCATCCAGTCTCTCCTGTTGGATGATAATAGCAATTCTTTGCATTTCTACACCTCTCTACAAACATTCACATATCAACCTTCTTAACACCCCTATGAGTGGGGAATTAGTATCCCCACTTTGTAGGGTGACCACATTTACCACAGCAAAATCAGGACACCACATGGAGCTGGCCTGAGCCACCTGGCATCATCGCTCGCCTGAGCCCCTCCAGCCCCCACACCTCTGTGGACTAACTGCTCAAGCCCCACTACCCAGCACCTCGTGTCACCACTGGCCTC